CATCGTAAAGTTGAAATCTGTTAAGTCGAACCATTGTAAGTTGGGGACCATTCATACTTTTATTTTAAAGCTAATATACTTTGCTTCTTATTTTTATATGCTAGAGAGAGGCTATATCTTTAGGTCATGTTAATTAATATGTTTGTTCATCTTTGCTACATTAAGAAAGTACAAAAGGGATGCATGTGGCTGTAGAAAGTTATATTCTGTGTGTTTATGAACTTTGCTAATCTGCTCAAATGTTTATATATGATTTCTCAATTATCTAGTTTTCCCTGTGGAATAAAAATTAGTTATTTTCTTAAACATTATAATGAAATATGGGTGTTACAATTATGCTAGGGACAATAATGACAGAGAAGTATAACTATGTGTGTTCTTTTATTTTTCAAGGAAAAAAAGTATTTTTTTTTAGGTTCAGTCCTCAAGATATTTGGTCTCAGGACACTTTACATGCTCTTAAATTAAAATATATATGGATCCCCAGAGCTTTTGTTTATGTGGGTTATGTCTAATAGATATTTACTGTATTAGAAACTAAAGCTAAAAAATTTTTAAAATTTGTTGTTTCATTTGGAAATAGCAATGACAAAGCCATTTCATGTTGATATAAGTAACTTTTTAATGCATTGTTTTCATAATTTTGAAACTTTCTTTAATGTTTGGCTTAATAGAAGTCAGTTGGATCCTCTTATTTGCTTCTGCACTGAGTCTGATGTGATACCATATAATATATAGCCACTGGAAAAACTCATGGTACATTCACGAGAGGAGAATACAAAAGTCAAATAAATAAAGTCTTAGTTTTATTATTATGAAAGTTGTTTTGACCTTGCAGACCCACTTAAAGTGTCTTAGGGACCCTCGTGGGTCTGGGGCCCACTCTTTGTTCTAAAGTAAAGTGGCGGTTTGTTTCAAAATATAAAATAACATAATAAAGGACAAAACTTTGAAAGAGATTTTTTATTTGCCTTGGTTTATAATACGTTTGTCTAAAATGAAGCTGAGAACTATATTAAAATTTTAGTAAGTTTACTCAGGTTTGATGAGCTTATTTCTTTAGTTTACTGATTAATGCTTTCCCCATGAAACTCAAGGTTATTTTTTGTGCAATCTCCTTTTTGTGCTTTATGTTTATTTTGCCTTTATTTAAAGAAAAAATAAAGAACAAAGTTTCCTCATTTACAAATGAGCTAAGATTATTTACAATTATGTTACTTTCTGTGCTTATCCCCAATTATTTTATTCTTGCTTTGAAAAATTAGGTAACCAGTACTGTTTCTCAGGTACCCATGATCCTATCTTAATCGAATACCCAGTTCTTTTTTGACAACTCTTTTGATTTTGCCTTCTAAAGATCAGACCTAAATTTAGTAAAAAGTAAAACTTTCAGAATATCTTTTACACCTAAAACTATGTTTGAAATTTCCTAGGTCTCTAGAAAATCACAGATTTTTTTTCTTTCATCTTATAAAAAGAGATGTTAGAAATAATTAGGTTTGTTTGATATGTTACCATTGTAAGAGTGTCATGTGAGGGGAGTTGCTGTCATATTTGAGAAGAGATGCTCAGTGTGCCCTGGGTTAGATCCATATATGTAAAATGTTAATATAAATATTTCAGAAATTTTGTTTTAGGGGACATGCCTGGAGATTTGACAATGCCTTTGCTGTCTGTAATATGTCTGCATCCTCAGGGGAAACACATCAAAACTTTTATGACATAGTTACATACTGTATCTGAATAGAGAATTTTACTTATCTTCTATTCTGATATTATTGGTTACAGTAATAAATTCAGTACAGCTATTAAGTATCTGTCATCTTTAGAAAGTTTCTGTTTTCCTCTAATGCTTGCCTGAGAGCTCTGCTAAAAGCTACAGTAAATAGTTTGTGCCTGCAACAAAGATTCAGAGCACTAGGGAAAAGGACTATCACAGGTACTTTGAACTATTGGCACTTCAGAGAACAGTCTCTTGGATATAGGCACCTGAGGTGACGTAGCTTAGATAACTTTTCTGTAGTACCAGTAGACCGTCAGGAATCCCAGGGCTCTTTAGAATAGAAGCAGATGGGTTCATGAAAGCAGACCGGTTACCCAAGATCTAGCAGAACAAGAATGACATACAGCTGAATGAAATAATAAGGGAAATTTTATTTGTATTTATTTGTTTGGAATATTGTTGATTAATTTTTAATATTCTATTGCTTTATGGCTCTAGATTTGCAAAACAAACTTAAAGAGGCCTATTGGTTAATTAACACTTTTGCTGTTAAATAATCAGGGCAAGCCTCTGAGAAAAGCCTTTTTTTTTTGTGATCAGTAATGATCTTTGTGATTATTTTGATCATATGAGGTAGGAGGTGGATACTATCAGGAAAAATTAAGAGACTTTCAAATAGGCAAAAAAAAAAAAAAAAATTACTGGGGGTCCAATCTAGTGTATCCTTCTTGGCAATCTGCACCTTTCATTGTCTTTGAGCTATTTTACAATTCTGTAGGTTATGGAAAATTTATAGTCATGCATATAATTCTTTAGTTTTCAGAGCAAAAAGCAGATACTGTTTACTTGAAACTGCCAGTGTTTCATAAAAAAAAAAAAACCACTTTGGGGCAGAGGTGGAGGTAGGAAAAGATTCTGAGGGAAGCAACTGTGGAAGGGCCATTTCTTCTTGGCTGAGAAGAGGACTGAGGTCTGTGGGTCCCATAAGCAGCAGGAGCCCCTTCTCCCTGCCCCAATACTCCCAGCTTCCCCATGACCCCAGTGCTGCTAGCAAGGCCTAAAGGAGCAAATACCTGAGATCACAGCACTACAGGGCCATTCTAGATGTATACAGTGGAGACTGGTGACCATCTTGCTAAATAATGCTTCTGGATCTTTCCTTGACCTCCCTATCTTTTCAGTGACTGGTCTTCAGGCTCAGCCCTTGGGCTGATGCAGATGTTCTGTCTCTTAGGCTTTTCTTTCTGCTATTGAAGTACAACTGAAATTCTTTTGGCAACTAGAATTTGCAGGTTGGCAGGAGTTTGCTGCATTTATGCTTTATCTCTTTCTTCCTGGTTCCTTTCATCTCATTCCCACTTAAGGAGGTAAGAACAACAATTATTAGCTCCCATGGAATACTATGGGATGCCTAGTTCCTAAAATTTCCTTCCTAGTAAATTAAAGGTTTAGTGTAAGTATCTTACCATACAGATAATAAAATAAATAAAACCAATATGCATTACTATATTGCCTCTCTTTATTTGTGAGCAAATTCCTAGGACAAATGAAATCTTTGTTAGCATTAATAAAGAAGGTTAAGGTTGAGAAGTGTTCTGTCCTTACATAGTTGAACAACAATTGCCAAGCCTATGTTTGTTAGAAGCTCGTTGCCATTTCAGAAGTACTGGAAAAGACAACCTTCAGGTTTGCAAAATAGGTATTGTCCATAATTAAGCTCATTAGCAACCAGTAGAAATTATACATGAAACACTCCCTGGAAACAACAAATTTAACATTCAAGTACTCTTAAGTTATTCAGAGCACCACAGGCAATTTGATGGAAATGAAAACAGACAGGTTGAAAATTATTTCTTATAATTCTACCATAATGCAGAACTCAGCTCTGGCCTTTGTGATCTCAGAAGAGGTCTGCAGCAGTTTGCTCCACCTGGGGCTAAGGACTTCTATGAGACTTTGAGGAAAGACTAATCCAGCAATCTGTCTGCTATAAGGAGAATACTACCCACACTTCAACACCTTCACTCCTGGATGTAATCTGAGATGGTAGTCTTGGACTGAGATTCTCTATTTTTCTTCTATGATTTTTGGCTGCTAAAGAGCTATGTTTAGACACTCTAAAACTAGTTGTGAATGAAAGGGAGGAATTCTCTGTTCACACCACTAAATTCTGCCGAACAGTCAGGTTATAAATTTAGGCAGTTGATAGCTAGATAGGGCAGAGACCAAGAACAATCATATATATAAGATCTAGCTAAAAATGCTGCTCTCAGAAAAAAATCTGAATTTTAGTAATAACTGCTATTATGACAATATTTTTATAAATTTTCAGTTTGGTCATTAATATGAAAGAAAGAAAAATTGGAAAGGGATTATAGGCTGGCAAAATATTTTGTGTTCTGAAACATTTTTGAGTCAAAACATCAGGTTGGTTATTTTTTTTTTTTAAAGATTTTATTTATTTATTTGACAGAGAGAGACACAGCGAGAGAGGGAACACAGCGGGGGAGTGGGAGAGGGGGAAGCAGGCTTCCTGCGGAGCAGGGAGCCCCATGTGGGGCTTGATCCCAGGACTCTGGGACCATGACCTGAGCCGAAGGCAGACGCTTAACAACTGAGCACCCAGGCGCCCATCAGGTTGGTTATTGTAGTAAAGTATATTTTGCTTTTATAATATTATTCAACGGACCCAATTATCATCATGAACCAACATATTTCATTAAGATATATAAAGTTAATGATACTGAGACACTGAAATTGTGATTTTTAAAGGACTAAGCATATACTTTATGCAAATAACTTAGTCTTATGAAATCCTATACATACTAACATATATGTTTGTATTTTATTTTCATCATTATTATGATTATGATCATTATTATTTGTCAAAAGGGGCAATGGAATACTTAATCCTATCTTTCCTCCCTGTGAGGAGCTAAGGGTTCTTTATCAGGTTTGGAATATGTGGCGGGGGAGGACAGGATCTTGGGTAAATATCATGTATAAAGGAAGTCCTAATGTTATAGTAAAGTTGAGTAAGCAAAGAAACAGAAATCTTCAAAGGAACATGAAAATCATTTTGCAAGTTGTAGGATTCTCCAAGCTTTTCCTGAGGTAAGCCCTCTGATCTACCCATACTGCATTCCTTTTAGAACGCCCAGAAATTTCTGAAGCCCTATGGATTTTCAAATTTGTGCAGATAACAGATAACTACCAGACTAAAGTTAATCAAGGACATTACCTTAGATAAATTTTCATGAACCCCACTTTTTCATACCTTTTCCCCCATGGACACGCCCCCTGATGTAATGATGACATCAGCACGACTGATACCCTCATTCAAGGCATTGAGTAAGTCATCTGGGCTGGAAAAAAAATAAAGACAAATAAATTAACCACAAGAAAAGATTTTAGATATTTAAATGCCAACTTAACACTAAACCACTTTATTCACTGAGTAGGCATTAATATGGGTATAGCACTATATTCTGTATGAAGTGGGAATCAAAAAGGTCTCTGCCCAATGGAAGCGTAACTCTTATTGCGGAGAAAGAACCTTGTAAGTGTGGAAGTAGTGGCTACTGATACTTTCACAGGGCTTTTTGCTCTAACAAGGCAGCATAATGAGGGAGACATTGAGGTGCTGGTAGGCTGTCTAACCATCCCAGTTTGCTTAGGCTAATCCCAGACTTAGTACTGAAAGTCACATGTCCTAGGAAATCCCAGGCAAACTGGGATGGTTGGTGACCCTAGGTGTTGGGAGAGGTCACACAAGACTCTTTATAAAGGGAATATGACTTAAGTTAGTTAAGCCTTGAGAAATGGGCCAGATTTTCACAGGTGGAACAAATGAGAAAGGGCCTTATAAACAAGAGGATCAGCCTGTGATGCATTCTCAGTGGAGATTAATATGGGGAAAAAGAACTATCTAGAGTGAAGGACTTGAATGACTGGAATAGAACATGATTTTGGAAGGCTCTCAAGCTCAAGAATTGTGACTTCATCTAGCAAGACAAGGGTGGTGGTGGGGGTTCCCTAGAAATATAAAGAGGCAATAGGTGTTTATTAGGAAAAAACAAGGAAAGCAGAGACTATGAAATATTCTGAGAGGGTAAAAGGACAGGATGAATATTAGGGATTAAAACTAAACAGATTCCTGATAGTCAACTGAAAAGACCAGTTTACAGGCCCTTTGATTGCACAAGTCAAAGGTCTCAGAAGAAGAGATGGAGCAATATCAAAAGTCTATCTTCTGGATGTTAGAAGGGTTATAAAGGCATAACTTGAGATTGATAAATTGAGAAAAAAACCAAAGTGCCAGGTATGGGGGCTTATAGGGGGAGAGGAAGGTAAGGGTTAGCTAAAAAGAACTATCCAGTTACTACTTGAATTCCATACAAAGGTACTGGTAACACACACTGCACTTGCATTCCCCTTCAAATGACAGAGTACAGAAAGGGAGCCTTTTGAGGAATATCTGTCTAGCTTAGACCCTTGTTTTCTGAGAACTTCTTACCCTGTGGGGAAGGGAGGTAGTTCTCTTTTTTCCCCATGGACATCTAACAAGGGAGCAATCCTAGCTTGCTTTTCCAGTTCTTGAGTTTAGTCCCTCTTGACAACTATTTTGCTCTTGGGTTCCTTGAGATAACCCTACATCTTCCCGTAAACCCCTCCTTTGCTTAAGTTAGCCTCAATGTTTTTTTGTTAACTTGAAATCAAATGATGTCTCAATGAGATAGCATACATTCCTCCAAATCACTCTTGATAGTGAAGTTTTTTTCATGTCCCTTTACCTTAAGGTACTATTTGATGGGGGAGAGAGGGAGAAAGGAGGAGGAAAAGTGGGTGGAGGAGAAGATTTATAAGTAGGACATCATTTCCCTTTTTATCTACGGGTGACAGAGGTAAGGAGAGGAACTTGAGATTCACCTGAGAGGCTACCCTCAACTCTCTAAGGCTCTAGAAGAGATAAGCTAGTTGGGAGGTGGCATAGCACAGAGATCAAGAATCTAAACTCTGAAGTCAGACTGCCTGAGTTTAAATCCTGGTGCTACTATTTGCTAGATGTAGAATTTTGGACAAGTTGCTTAACTTCTCTTTGCCTCAGATTTCCATCTATAAAGTAGAGATAATATAGGGTTGTTATGAGGATTAAGTGACATAATACATATAAAACAGTTTATGGAATAGTACACAGTACAAACTAAGTTTTAAAGAAAGGTTAGTTGCTATTATTGTTGTACTACTGACAGAAGCTTATCATATAAACACACCTAACATCCTGGCAAAGTTCAACTTTAGCATGCTTGATAGTTCTTATTTAGGAGAATATTTATGACTAACACAGAAGAAAATCATAGATTGGGCCTTAGATACATTCAGAACTACATGTGAAAAGCCCAAATGGCTCTCTAGCAAGCTAGGCCTGGTTCCAGCCTAAATAGTTTCATTTACTGGTTGGTTCTCTTACTGGATCTGGATAAAATTCTCCTCTCCAAGCACTGGCCTGTCTATGAGTATATTGGGGGTTGTTTGGTTCTGAGGAGAAAGCTCCCAAGGAGAAGACACAAATATAGAAGTTTGAAAAATGGCTCACACGGGCTTCAATCTATAAACATAGGGACTCTTTAAAATCATCTACTGAATTGCTTATGCAGCCAAAAAGGTACCCAGGTATTTGATAAAGATAGGATCTATGTTAAAACATAAAAAAAAAAACCCTTAAAAAAATCCCTTTCAAAGTTAAACTGGATAGGCAAACATCTTAGAAGAATTATATTCAATAATGGGTGTATTTAAAGTAGTTTTGAATTAAGTATTTTGTACAGATTTTTCATCAGTCTTTTTCCTTTTACATTAGTGAAAAAGATAGCAACTTATTCTACTGTATTGAAATACTATAAGATAAGCACATGATGGGTTCCTGATCACTGCATGCCCAGAGCTCCAGGCCCTTCCCTTGTTGAATATTATTATCATCAGGCTGAGCCAAATGGCTGGTCAATGGAGTAAATGGAAAAACACAAACACAGGATAATGTGGAATGTGGTTCAGGTGAATGGACAATGAATATTATTAACAAAATATAATTTTGTGTTAGTACAAAGAGACATCAGCTAATTTCACCAGTTTTACAATATGTAATTTATAACATGTCAACTTCAGAGGATTATGGTAAAGTCCCTGGAAACAAAGCAGCAGTAACATACACATCTTCATGGTATTAATCTTTGTAGGTGGATAAAAGGTCCTGGGACACGCTAGCTGATGATGCAAATAAACATACATTTCAGTGATTTTTTTTTTCTTACTTGTTTTTATATTATCTGGGGAAGATTTTTTTTCCTATTTTATAAAACTGCAGAGTCATCAGCTCTCCGTATGAACTTTTCTAACTTGCAGAAATAAACTAAAAGGGATTTTATGCCTTTTAGTATTCAAAGAACATTTTCAGTGTTGCTTTCTACTTTGTGTCTGGTGTATTCACAAAACATTGAATTTCAAAGTTGGAAGGGTCTTTGGGGGGCTCATTGTGTTCATTATCACAGCTGGGTGCATTCTTTGGGTCCTGTTCTTCTCTATCCCCCTCTGCCCCTCTCTTTGACTCTACTTTCTGTTGCATATTTCTGGTGTCTGGGATCTAATAAGAGATCATGGCTTAATAGACGGTCAGGTACAAATGTATGCCAACAGTCAGAGGATCTATAACTTCATTTATGTTGCATGCTATAACTCTTTTTATTGATAATAAGTCTGCAAAGTAGATCGAACAGGTAATATGCTCATTTTATAGAAAAAGAAAGTAATATTCAGAGCAAAGTAGCATTTTATTTATTTTTTAAGTAGGCTCTATGCCCAATGACCTGCTGAGATCAAGACCTGAGCTGAGATCAAGAGTCAGATGCTTAACCAGCTGAGCCACCCACGTGTCCCCAAAGTAGTGTTTTAAAGGTGAGGTAGAGCAACGTGGCAGCGCTAGAACAAGAGCCTCTGGATCCTCATTAAGTTTTTATTCTATCCCACTGACTCATCAGAGTGACTGTCTAGTTCTTTTAGGAGCATGACATGTCATACAAGGAAAATTCTCATGAGAATGGGCCTTTGTACAAAAGCATCAAATGGTAAGGCAAAAAGTGAGAATCTATCTGTGTTGACTAGGAAAGTGCATGTGTGGACATGTCAGTATAATTCTGGGGAATGAAACAAATGTGATTCTGATCCTATGTACAGATGGAAACTAAAGATTTTGATTAAATGTAACTTTAGGGCTTGTTTACAAGTCATAAATTTGCTCTCTTTTTATGATTCATATTATATTTTAAATGATAAAAATATTTCCAACATAACATAATAGTATAACAGCCATGTATCTATCTTTCAGATTTGACAAATGCTAATATTTTCCCATATTTACTTCATATTCCCTCTTCCCTCATTTTCTTAAGAAATAAAAACAAGTTTGTTTTCTAAAACTAAGCAATTACTCTGAATAATGATAAAAGGAATAGGTAACAAGGATTATAATTGTGAATATTATAGCAGAATAAAAACTATTCATGATTTTTCAGTTTTGTTAAATAGATCATGGTGTATTAATTTTCTCAAAGAAGGGAGAGTAAAACTAAAACATCATAATCTGATCTTTTATTATATAATATTACCTTATATATCTTACATGTCTTTTAAATGACATTACTTTGTATATATTAGATCATTTGATATTTAAGAAATAAAAGTAATGACAATAATGTGCACATTTTAGAAGAACAATACACTTTCACAGGTATGTGTTAATTTCACAACTCTATGTGGTAGGCAGGGCAGGAGAGGGCACTGAGGTTCACAGTGGTAGTGAAACATTCGAGGTTACCCTTTGTTCACTCTACTACTCTTTTAAACTATAGTAATATTCACATAATGAAAGGTAATTTGTTATACACAGTATGCCTTCAGATAAAAGCTATTTATCATTTTTATCTAAATATATAAATCCTATTTATGGATGCTATATAGAAATGATAAAAACTGGACAATTTGTACGTTTAAAATTTGAACTATCTTCTCACCATTGCCACTGGAGGGGATGCTGGATTAAGCAGATTAACTTTCCTCGGTATATACCAGTAGTTTCCCTTTTCTCAAAGAGCAGCACATCTTAAAGGGATATTGTGATATCATTTAATTCTTCCTTAACAACTGTAATTTTAATTAGACTTGAATGGCGATTAATCATTTCTTTAAAGATAAATTGAATACCAGCATTAGTCTTGGTTTACTAGCACTTTCCATTTTCACTTGAATTATTAAGTATCTACCCATCGTTCTCTTAGAGTACCAATATTATATAAAAACATTCTAAAAGACA